AAAAAAGGGCGAACCAGCGCTTTGCTCTTTTCACGCGCGCGCCGATGTAAAAGCTTGGATAACGGATCGAAAATTGGACAACGAAATTGTGCGTGGATATAGTATATTTTAATTTGAGTTTCCTTTGAATTTTAACGGCCGTCAAAAGAAAAGGATAGCGCGCGAAAGAGAAAGAGAGAGATATATAAGTAAAGAATATAAGGAAATATTGAATGCATGGGCAAAAATCGAACGTCGAAATTATACGCTTATCGAGTAGTAGGTATTTAAATTGAATTCTGATACCAATCGATCAAAGTTCGGAGTTTTCTTTGTATCTCGTCAAACATAGGAAAAAGATAATAGATTTAAATAAACGTTTGGTAGGCCAAACAGTAGGATCCAAACTGTGCATTTATCGATATTGAAATTGAATCTTCGAATCGAGCAAAGTTCGAAGTTTCTTTTGTATTTCGTTATTTGAGAAAAAAATGTACAACCATCATGCTCTATAAACACGTGAACATTTATTAAAACCAGAATATTCAAATTAAGTGAATTTCTCGTAAGATAATATATGAACACTTGTGACTGAATATATATATATATATTTTAAATCTTCCTACGATACACTCAATTCCATTGCTATTTGTAACCGATATTGGCAATTTTTCTCGAATCGAAAATTTATCAAATCTTTCATTAATCAATTCAATGTTCAAATGTTTCTATTATACACTCAATCCTATCGCTACTTGTAACCGATATCGGCAACTTTTCTCGAATCGAAAATTTATCAAATCTTTCATTAATCAATTCAATGTTCAAATGTTTCTACCATACACACAATCCTATCGCTATAACCGATATCGCCACCTTTTCGTTTCGAATCGAAAGTTTAAGTCAAACCTTTCATCGATCAATTCGATGTTCAAATGTTTCCACGCTCGATCCCATCGCTACTTAACCTATATAGGCAACTTTTCGTCTCGAATCGGAAGTTTATCGAAATTTTCATTGGTCAATCAAATCGCATTGCTGCTCGATCCCATCGTTACTCGTGAGTGATGATATTTTTACCACTAGGCGAAGACTACTTCGTTCCTTTAGCGTGTCCATCTACGAATCTTCTTTATAATTATCACGTTAGCCAATAGGAGATAACCGGTTTCCCCGATATCCTCCGCAACGAACAATGAGTATTTGTATTTTCGTTTCTTTATTTCCTTATCCCAAGAGTCGGTTGTGTCGACGGCGGTTGTGTACGCATGAAAACTCTTTCTTAAAAGGCCGACGTTTCTGCGGTCTCGTTGCTTAGAATAAACACCGAGATAATGTTATCGCGTTTGGAAACACGAATCGCATTGTCCGTAGTGACGTTTGGTCATTCAACAGTTTGTAATTAATTGCATCAATTACAGTGGCCTATGCGTGTATACACGTTTTTTATAGTTTAGACTGTTATTACCATCTGTAGATAGCGTCTCGTTATGCGCGATGAATTATTGCTTTTAATCTGTCCCGCGTATTTCAATGCGATCGTCGAAAATAACTCGAAATATAATTTGTAGCCGCCGTATAAATATCATTGCAATTATATTTATACATCGAATCGAATTTTTATCTCGCGTGTTGCTCCATTTTTCCTTCCGTTTTTTATTACTTCGTTCGATTACTTCGATCGATTGCCAATCATTTTAATCGTGCATGGGAATTCGTTTCGCGGGAAAAAAAAAAAATTTTTTTTTCACCGATCCCCTAATCTTCCAACTCATCATAATGGCGACTAGAGAATTGGGCAAAGCGAAGAAATATTTGAATCGTCAACTCGTATTCTCGCTGCGTGGCCGAGTGATTCAGAATTTACAATAATAGCCGTAACGGATAAAATTTTGATTATTTCAAGCTTCGATCGTTCAAATGTTTCAAGCTCGTGTCGAGCAAATTTGAAGAGCGCAGTGATCTTGAAAAAAAGAAAAAAAACGCGGCTAGTGTTTTAATTTTTATAGTGATAAATCGTCGTTCCAACGTTTCTCGAAAGATTTATACAAACGACAATTTGATTAATCCGCACGATTTTCTTGACATCCATATTTCGATTTGAGAAGAGATAAATTTCATGAAATTGAAATCTATCTAGAAGAAACTAAGTTTTTTTAACTGAAAATATTTTTTCGAAACAACAATTTCAGAGATAATAACTCCGTCCAAAGATTCAAATTAGACGTATTGAATTGACGTAAAAGTTCTTTTTTTTTTTTTTTTGACAAATAACCAGAATTATTAAGTGGATGGATCGTTAATAATATTCAAAATTGTCGATACCGGCTGAAAAATTGAAATAAAAATAAGAATAATTTTGCATTTTTATCGCTCAAGTAAAATATATAAAATATGTGAAAACATAATTATCGTTAACAGTTGGTATTATCGTTACGTAAAAATGAGCTTTAAATGGCATAAACGTAATTAAAGAGTTTATCGAATTCCTTAAGTATCGTCATAATTGAAAATATTTTCTCTATGGCAAATTATTAAAGAATTTTTTATGTCTTCAAGTAAAAAAAGAATCCGATCGATTTTTCACAATTTCATTAACCGCAAAAAACTCTGATTCATCAAGTTTATTATTATTTAATTATTCAAGAAATATGCGTTTTCTAATAAGGTCCAACAATTATAAGTCGGTCAATCTTTCTAACATATATGTATATATAAGTTTTCGTACCAATTAGTTGGTCACATAGTTGCACGCAGTCCACTCGTTTCTCGTTGGATTTTCTTAACGACATTAAACTTCAATCCGTCGAGGATATTAAATTCAATCGATAACATCTTTCCTGTTTCTAAATTAAAAAGTCGTTGTACTAATGTGTATAATTTACATTTTTTCGTGAGAAATATATATGATTAAGAAGAAAGGAAAGAATGCAAGTTAAAAGTTATTTGATAAAACGCACGAAAATCCACGATTCGAAGATAAATTAATTTAAACAAGGTATCTTTATCAAATTTTCTACATATATTTACGTATAATTTATATTTTTTAATACGATGTAATGCTCGAGAAGTTTTTCTAAAAGAAAATCAATACAACGATTACATAACCTCAAAAATTGCAATGTAACTAATAATTTATTCGGTAAACAGGTTGAGCAATCAATTTCCGGTTGGAAAGTATTAAAAGGGTATGAAACGATCGGCTCGTTTATAATCAAATCAAATTATAAAGAGACGTTAGTTCTGATGTTGTCAACACTGCAAGAAAAAAAAATGTGTAAACGATATTATTAATAACTGGTATTCAAACTCGAATGTATACTTGTCGATGCAATCGATTTTAATGTTAGCGTGGGTGGTCACAGGTGAACGTATGAAATTGGTAATTGTTAAGTAAGGTGAATTCTTAACTCGGTTATGAGCATAGTTACATGCTTCTGAAGACAATATACAATACCTATTGATCCTTCAACTCATCTCTCGTCGAATTAAATACTATTGATATTACGTGATATCCTAAAAGACATACCTCAAAGGACACTTGAACGTTTATTATTATTTCAAGCTTTTGTTTCAAATATGATTAATTATATACAGAGTGTTAATATATTCGTGGTACACTTTCGAAAGAAACACAAACGTTGGTATAGGTTAGATTAGACAGACAGCTCTATCTCTGTCATACCGCCTTGTTGCTTCGTTTAACAATTTCAATTGCTTATATTCCAAAATATATTCAAAAATTAATTCGATCCTTCGTATTCATTTTTCAGAGAAAGAAAAAAATGGGAAAAAATCGTTCGTCCCAAGATCTATTTTTATTATAGTTGAAAAAGAAGGATCGAACGACAAAGTTGATTCTTGTCGCAGATAATTCTGGAATTCTCGATTTGCTGACAAAACGGACAATTCGATCTGTTATTACAGAGGCAAATAGAAACGGTGAATCTATAAATAATCGAGTGGCTATAACGGGATATATAATAACAGGGCCTCGAATTATTCAAGTACCGAGAGCATAATTATCCAATCGTTTGACTCCAGCTCCATTCAAAGTCACCGGAGCAGCACGACAAGCAATAACTTTTAGATCCTGTGCCACGACGCCCCATATTTTACGATTACAACGTCCACGTAGGTGAACGTGATTGTCTGCGGCGATGTTATTTCATAGTAGTCTGATATACTATATAACGAACGAGGCAACAGAGTTTCGAGCTGATGCTGATTTACCGACCTGGCAATGATTCCGTTTTGGTAAAAGAATTTTTAATACTTGTAGCTTTCTTAATTCAAAATATACACTGTCAATTTGACAGTCGTCATTTCTCAAAAGATAAAGTTAATCTTCATATATTCTTTTTCTTCGTTTTTATTTTATTAACAATTTATTAAGTCTTTCAGTTTTTTCATCTTACATATATTATTTTATTAAAAATTTATTCAATCAACATCTAGATTCACCTAAATTTTCCCACCTAACCTCTTTTTCGATCATCCTCAAATCCTCTCTCTGCAACCTGCGCAAATGCACAATGCGCAACAGCACACATGCGCATTGTTCGTTGTTCAATCGCAGCGCAACGATAGCAGCACTCGAACGAGACGAGTGATACGGATAAATAATAAGTTTTCGTTTTCTTTTCCTATCTTCCCTTCCCTCCTTCTCTCACTCCTACCAAAGAAAAAAGGAAAAAAGAAGACGGTGGCGTGCGTTAAACAAGAACGATAAGAAGGAGAAACTTGGTGCAAAGCGCGTGCACAACTCGAAGGGGCATGTCCTTCGGCGTAAAAGTCCTGGCCCATGGGCCCAACGACCGTGTGTCGTTGTTATCGGGCCTGCTTACGCCACATTTCACTCGAGCTCTGCTCCACCTCGACTCGGTATATAGTATATATATATATATATATAAGCATTCGATGCTTTTTTTTATTTGGAACGACGTGAACCAGATCTTTTTGCGGCGAACTCGCTGTAACGTTAACTCTTAAACGGCGGCCAACGCCTCGCCACTTTCTGCGCTCGCCTGTCCATTTGCGGCGGCTTTGCCATGTCAATGCAAATGTTCTTCCTGACAATGTAACGACGCCGTGGAAGTACTATGGGAAAAGTTTATCCCGGGATTCATGGTATGAGAAAATACATCTCGCCTAGCCTTCACAATTCTTCTTCGATCCTTGAAAGATCGCGGAAACTAGAGTTTCGAAACGATCGATTATTTTTGGGGATGACGAGAAATTCTGATCTGCATTATGAAAATATTTTTATGGAGGATCGTTGTTACTTTTTTTTTCTTTGCAGATTAATAAACGAAAGATGGTCCAAGATCCAAATGGGGACGATGAATTATTACAGATGTTTGGAATTCAATTTTTGGAACGACGAGAAATATTATTTTGAAACGTTTTTATGGAAGATGATCGTTACTTTTTTTTTTTTTTTTGAAGACCAATAAAGTCGGTCCAAATGGAGAGAAGATGGATTATTGTACACGTTTGTGAATAATCAGAACTGTTTTTTAATTTTCGTCTCGAAATATTTTTATATATGATCGTTATTTTTTTTTCGCAGGCTATAAAAAAATAGTGGATCCAAATGGAGAAGATGGATTATCATAATCGCCAATTTGGAATTCAATTTTTGGAAATGGCGAGAAACGTTTCTTTTGTTATTTTTTTCTTTCTTTTTATTTCTTTCGTTCGATTGTGCCCGAACGATAATTGAACATATTCGATATCCGTCGTTCGCAACGTTCTGGAAACAAATGGAGGGCAAGCTCGCATTAGGCTCGTGTATATCGGGCAACTTTCATCTGGACATTTTTATTCGACCTGCGGACAGCGTGGAGTCACCGTGTACATCGTCGATCGGCGGTCGAACAAAACGATTTCACGGCAGAAGCTGGTGAAATGGAAAATCATTCTCGTTTTCTTTCGCCTAGTTTTCTTCTCCTTTTTTCGATGAAATACGAGCAACTCGTGAAACCTTAACGATCGTTGCACAACCGCACAATTATCGCGTGCTCAGACTGTCGGCAATTCCTAACTT